CAGCATTTAGCTTCAGTAATACAGAAGATATGTAGTCCCCACAAATACAATGTTTTTGACCTAGTCAGTAAGTAAAAGGCTGCGATGTGACATTTAGACTGTAAATAATAATGACTCATTGATTTAAATTGATTGGGAATTGAAATAGTTTTAGATGTAAATAATTAAACACATACACTCTTTCTCTGGTCGAGGAATATTACTAATGGAGACTGGAGACAGACACAGTGTACATGAGGCAGAAGGCTGACTGCACCAGCTCACACTGCCAAGAATGTTATTTCAGATGTTACATGAGGTTTGTAGATGTTTGACAATCACTACTGACAAAGTTGGACTGATAATAGTCCAGGCTTCACACATCAAAGACAAAATGGTTTATCTGCATGGCTGCCGCATAACTTGGCCTACAGCATCGTTGTGATGTTCTTCAGTCTGACCCAGCAAGGTTACAGCTTTGTAGCCGTTTTGCCATTTCTAAGGAATCTGTAACTCTGCATAAATTCTTCCAGGAAAAAATCTCACTACAATGCTGTGATTTAATGCTTTCAGACACCGCCATCTCCACAGGATTTTCCCTGATAAAATCAGAATGAATGGGTATGTTAGTCCTGAGCTCCACCATGTGGCCATTTTAGCATGTGCAGTTCTTTTTTATTGCTCTTTTTGGCTCTGGCTCAATCTCGTTTAGAGTCATGTAACAGGAATGGTAGTAAATATGATTTGTTTTGGGTTGTACTGTGTTTTGAAACCAGAAATAGCAGCTGGGTAATCTTACTGCTTTAAGATTTGGAGTCGTCAAGCACATTTCATTTATAGTTTAGCAGTTTACTTTGCTCTAAGATTAAAGTTCAGGGGAAAAAAAAACAAGGTTGAATTCCTGTTGCAGAATTATCTCCTGGGACCCAGTGGAGGGGTGGCCAGTGCCACTTTCCTGTGATGCGTTGTCACAGTTTTTGCCGCCCCGGTTAAACAAGGTAAGACAGCTATCATCAATGAAGCAGTCATCACAGAAAAGTTCTGCTACTTTGTGTGAATAGTTTTATGGTGAAAAACTGCAATCAGGGCATTTACCAATCAGTTATGATCTGACGCTACACTCAGTAATCAGCGTATCTCACAGGTGAGTGGACACTGCACAAAACCTAAACGTCATTTTTGTTCATTTTGCTTAAGGAAGTGGCTAACTTTGGCTTTCTACATTAGGAAAACTTTTTAAAGCACCCACATCAGTGTACTGAAGTATTTCCTGTTACACACTGTGTCCTAAGTGGATTACTGTAACATTACTGTAACTGAAGATTGTAACAGTGTTCAGCACAGAGTAGAAATAATTTTCATATAACGTAATGAAACAGAAAATCACTTTCAATTTTTCCTGTGTGAAACTATTAAAAAATGTAGTAGAGCCATAGAATTATGATCACACTAATAATTTGCCCAGTATGCTTCAGCAGTGCTGCTCTGTGAGCTGTATTACATGAAGTAGGCTATACGATGGTTAGATGAGATAACTACCAGAAAATTGTGTCTACTAACATTTACTGCCATCTAGCAACACCTATCATTAGGCATGTAAATATTTTTTGTTTAATGGTGCAGTCTAGATTTCATCAGAGGTGAATCCAGTGTTAAGTATATGTTCCTGCTAATGCAGTCGATTAGCTCATCTCCTTGCTGAATATTATTCACTCATAAAGTTAATGCTCACCTAACAGTTTGCCACCCATTAAAACGGCTGGGTCTAACATGGCCCCCCCTTTGAAAAAGTTCTGGCTACGACCCTGATCACCTCATGCTGATTATACAGTACTGATACAATGGTTACTTTGTGTATGAAACATATAAAACCTAAAACATCATTAAGTGATTCTTCCTACCTAACAGAAGAAGACTGGCCCCTTAAAGAGCAACTACACCCTAAGACCCTTTTTTCCCATTAACAGCTGAAATACATTGCTCTGTAATAATAAAATGTACCAGTCTTGCTTACAATGTGAACACATCTTTCCAAACTGTAAAAATATAGTTTTTATCGTGGTCAGTTCCGTCTCCGCAGCACCCCTCTAGTTCAACTCTGCTATAGGTACCGAAGTACAAAGACACGTCACAGTATGCAAATCAGTCAAATAACGCTGCTGCCCCTTGATGACGCCCTACTCATGCTGCACTCATAAATATGAAAGCATAGAGCGAGGAGATAACCACACTCACGCGCTGATCTTAATATCCCCAGCATCACCTCACAAGGCTGCGATGTGCCAGCTGTCCGTACCAACTGTAAATTACCCAGTTAATCTAAGCTTAGTTCGTAATAAAAATGTTGGACCAATTAAGTGAGGATTCTTCATAAAGCTGCCGGTGTTGCATCCGATTCACGTTTCCCTTCACAACTCAAACCCTTGAGCACACACTCATTAAACAGACATCAATGGCAAGCAACACTGGAACTATGGAAAGCAAAACGGTTCAGGAAAGGTTAATCTTAAATGGCCATTGTTACCGACTGTGTCAACCTTTCATCCATACAGCTTTTCTCTAAGTTTTTACGCTTTCCGTAGTTCCAGTGTTGCTTGCCGTTGATTTCTGTTCAGTGAGTGCGGGGCCTGACGGTTCAATTTATGAAGAGGAACGTGAATTTGAGTGGGAACTGAATCAGATGCACTGCCTGATCAGAAACACCTTCCCTCGGCGAAGATGGGATGGTAGTAGAGAAAAATCGTCAACCTGGTAAGACCTCTCAGTTGCAAAAGTGCCTTTTGATTCTGTCATTCTCCATATTTTCTGGTAGCTTACGTACACTTGCTTTAAAAACACAGCAGCCCAGCCCACCCGGTTTTACTCGCAGCCCCACCTCCAAACCCGTAGATCACTGCAGTGCCCATCCCATTTTTGAGCATTTTTCAAAGTTGAGCCAAGGGTGGAGTTAGCTGAAAATAGTGGGGTGCAATTACTCTTTAACTGTGGTCTTTATTTCTCTTGGGCAGCCAGTTGCCAGCTCTAAAGCTGACCAAGACAGTAAGTTTTAGAAAGTTACCTAAATGTACACTTGCTGCTGTTCTGCCTGTCAAACGTTTGGGGACACAAATCTTTTCAAATTTCAAATTCAAATGAGCATGTTTTCGTTAACCCCCTGGGCTTATTATTAATTTATATTGTAACAAAACAATTTTAAAAATACATGTGATACAGTTTTCCTCAAAATAATCTTTATTAGTCTTTAATATTTTAAGCTGATGCAAATCAACAAAGAAAACATGATAATTAATAAAAAAAACCCACCATTTTGCTACGTTCACATTACGAGTTTCACTGATCAAATCCGATTTTTCACTCAGATCTGATCTTTCTGACATTTAGGTATGGGACTCAAATCTGTCATTAATGTGAACGAATCAGCATCCTGAAATGACCTGATCCAATTATTGTTGGTAGTCTCTGTCTAGTTTCGACCATCGCCTGTTTTACCTCGTGTTTGATTGATCCTCATTACATAAAAGCCTTGCTTTTACCGCGAGCGTCTGGTCTATTCTGCCACATTACAGGTATCCCCAAACTTTGGTCAGGCAGTCTATTTTCTTCCAGCTCTCCTGCCACAGTAGAGCTGACCTACATCTGTACTACTCCTAAACAACTGACCTCTTTGCAGCCTTTCAAGAAGTTACATGGGACCCTTGAAATGCTCTGGCACACTCAGTGGTCCTTCACTGGCGTGGGTAGGATTGGAGTCACGTACACCACCACAGTTTCCACATTGCCACCTAATAATATCCCTGTGAGAGATCAGCCAATGTCAGTTGAGAAAGTCTAGGAGATTTGTGGCCTATGAGTCATCCCTGATTAAACTGGCATTTTTACAGTTCGGGTAATGGATACTAAGGTCAAGGTTTAATTAGCCGGTAGTCTTGCAAGCAAGACGTCTGAGTATCACCAAAGAGCCTGATGGGTTGCGGGGCTTAACGTGACCAAGAGCTGTCTACTTTAACAGGAATGGGCTGTATGACTGACATGCAAAAATTGCTGCTTTTGTGTGACCTGTTATCAAAACAGGGTAACTGTAAACCCTCACATATTTCATAGTACCAACTCCTCAAACAGAGCTCTTGAATAACTTTAAAAGATATGTTGCAGAACCTCGTTTTTAGTCCTATATCTTGCTCAGAAAGACGCTTTGGTGTGCAGAAAAAATGGCTTGTAAGTTTGTTTCCTGTTATTGTGTGGCAGGAGAGTGTAACTAACAAAATATGACAGTTGTCTGATCGTTGACGCTGAGTCTAAATAATCAGCTTAGGCAGCTTGGTTTAGGGAAGCAGTTATAGCACTATATAACTCTAACCCTAGCACTCCAACAGATGACAATGTTGGATAGGGAATATTGGATTGAAATCCATTCTTTCAGCCCCAATGCACAGAGATCATGAATCCTACAATGGCACACTTTCACTGGGGAGCTGAGGTGAGTCTCGTTGGTTGCATGTGCTGCACAACAGTATGGAAGTATTATAATTATTTCACAATTTTGTGATTCGCCAACAGCTAACACATTCACTGACATGGTTTCCAATGGTGTGCAGTGATGTTACATAACACATTATAAGGGGGGAAAAACCTTTATACTCTTAATTCTATGTTGATTTCCAAGGTTTTTAATTATTTACAAACTCCTAATTTAACGCATCTGCTCTTAATCATGCCTTCAGGAGAATCATAGGGATATTATTAATGGGAGTATAATAAGGATATTATAACTAGTGCTGAAATTAACCTATTCAGGTTAATCACCAGCTAAACAATGGGGGATTGGTGAAGCAGACATTTAGTTAAACCCTTTTGTTAGGTGTTTATTTACATATTAAAAATAAAAAGGGAAAATTAGTGTTTTTGGGCTGTAGAGTACGTTGGGTATGAGGGAGGAATCTGGAAGAGAACGATGGCCTTGTATTCAAAAGCATTTCCTGGCTGATTTCATGATCATAGTTCTGTTCAAGACTATATTGTTGCCTGAATATCATGTCTGAATGGATGATAATAAAATGTTAAATGTCTCTAACAGGTAACCATAGTAACATGTTCAGTGGATTCATCTCGTACTGGGTATTTTGAAAGAGGTTCTTCAAAGGGCTGGCAGAATATGACATGAAGTCCAACACAAAAGCTTAGCAGAGGCTTTGTAATTACCTGTAACCATCTGACATTTTGTTTTTCATTACGTAGCTCAGCTTGAGGTATATGAAAAATTACATCTTTATTTTTGTCATTTACATTTTACAAATCAGAAAAATAAGCAATAAAACATTTACCTACATGATATGACTTAACACAATGTAAAAGAAACATCTTTTTATAATATAAAGCAGTTACATTGCAATAATACTTTTGTTTAATTTTTACCAAATAACGCGCAGTGAAAACTCAAACATTTATAGTCTGTTACAATAATTACATGAGCCCAGGAAGAGTCACAATCTTAAATGCCTTATATATACTGCTGATCTCAGGCTGCCAGAACAATGTAACAAGGCTATTTCGCATCTAATCATAAAGAAATAATGGCTCAAATGTGATGCTATGCAGCTTTAAGTTGCGTTAAACGGACCTCCTCTAAGACCTGGTCGAGGAGCTTGTCAATGACCTCACTATTGAAGTCCACCTGCTGCAGGTCGAGAGCAGGAATGAAGGAGACCAGCAGGTGGCCCACCTTGAATCGCAGACTCTTCAGCTTGCGTCTCTCTTCTCCAACAGCAATGTCTTCTCTCCCTCCTCTATCCGTCTCTTTTTTCAGCTTCTCCAGTTCACACTTCAGCTGGTCACACAGGGTTGAGAAGCTAGCTTTCTCTTCCTTCTCCTCCTCTAGCTAATAATAGTGCACATCATTATGATGACATGAGATAATGTGAGTCAAAAAAATCTAAAATGAGTAGTTAAAAATAACAGATGCTCACCTCGGGCCAGTTGCATTAGCTATTCATAAGTTTAAACAATGATTGGTAAGCCTATACGCATCTACTAAGGTTTACAGATTACTATTAAGTATTCCAATTTACTGCTGCATAAAGGCAAGTGGAAATATTTAGTAGCTGCTAACCTCAATATAAATAGTTTGTGCGGTGCAACATTTCAATGTTTTCAATGAATTCAATTAATGTTTAAGGCTTACCTTACGTTAAAACTAGCCTATATTTGAATGTCTATACAGCTGATGCGGTTCCACATCTATAATTGACATATAGCTAAATAGATTAATTGTGATTTTCCTAAAATTTCTGACAATTGAGAGTTTAGTTGCAAAAAAAGATTAGTGGTATTGGCAAATTTTAGTACGATGTGACTTTTTTGAGATCTCTACTAAAATTCAATTGGAGACAAAAGATTACTGGGGTCTTTTGCTCAGGATAAATTTCTGAGCAGCAGGTAAACTTAAAGTCTTATTTGTCTTTCCATCTGATGTCATTGTTGTTGTCATAAGATATTAAAGAGATTTTTTTTTTATTTTTCTTTCTTCTGGGTCAATTTAAATTTTCCCCAACCCTAAATCTTCAAATTAACTTAAATCAAAAACCCTCTGATGTGTTTAGATGGTCCTCGTCAATTTATAAAATACCGAGTAAAAAACAGTTGTTTGCATTTGGGTGGTCAATTGTAAATTTATCACGTGACTAATGCGTATATTCACTGGGATGGACCACATTGCGCTCTTTAATGAAGACTTTGCCACTACATAAAGATATGACATCAGAGAATATGCCACGATATGTAAACAGTAGGGGTGGGAATCTCTAGGCACCTCACGATTCGATCCGATTACGATTCAGAGGGCTGCGATGCAATTATAAAACGGTTATCGATCTCGATGCATCTTTTTTTTCTATACAGGATTTCTATTTTCTCACTGTGTGAGGACTTGGTACTTTTAAAACAAAGTATTTGTAATGATCCATAATGAATTTACTTCCAATATCTTTTATTAATAAATCAAATGGAAGTGATGTGGCAAGTCAACTGGAAGGCTCTCATTCACTGCTCTGGTTTGGAGCACATGAGACGCTGCTGCCACTCACCTGCGATAAAGTTATGGTGAAATAAGATCCAGTGTCAGTGGATGTCCACGCAGCACGTAACAGCCGTCCTGCCCGTTTTCTTTAGTGATTTTATAACTTCGGTTTTGGTCTCGTTGTAGAGACGGGAGGGAGGGGTTGTATCGCTGTGTCAGTAAAATATCTTTGAGACGGGACATGCACAATATAGCGCGAAAGCCGTTTCGGCGTGCAGACTGCAGGTCATTTAGAAACGATGCGTTTATAAGCAGCTCAGTTGGTTTCCTTGTACATTAAATCTGCAACGAGAGACTGTCAAACACTAAACAGCTGCGAAGATGAAGTCGCTTCTCTTTCGAATTTATTCATTTACATTCGGCGCCTCAGTCAGAATTTAAGGTGGAACGGGAAAATTCAAACAAGAAGCTGGAGAATAAGACGTGACTTCAGCCTCGTAAAACAGTCTAACGCTGAGAGACATTTTACGATAAGCCGATCTACTTTTGAGGAAAAGCGTCCTGGCGGAGATGGGAGGAAAGCGGCTAAAGCAGAGCAAAGTAAGTCTGCGCTCTCGTTTATATTGTTTAGCCTATACTAGGACATTATCACATACTGAGACATACTGGACATTAAATGTTGTGGCTCCCAAGCTGGTTTGCTTTTTGTTGAAAGGACAAAATGGCTCTTCTTATCATTTGGGTTGTGACTCCTGACCTGACCTGGCTTTTAATGCAGAGGGAGCCGGTCAAGATTTCTCACTCATCCAGTGGTGTTTTTGTTATGTGCCGCCACAGACTGTCTGGGCGCTGCACTTCCGCACTTCCAAGTTCCGCCTTTTGCGTTCCGTCAACATTACGTTATAAATTAAATATTTATAAAATCGATTTTTGACATTTGTGAATCGATTCAGAATCGTCCACGTCCGCATCACGATGCATCTAAGAATCGATTTTTTCCCGCACCCCTAGTAAACAGGGTATAGAACACAGAACTTTTTTTAGCAATTGTATTATGACTTTGGCCATTCAAGTGCAATTTCCTTGTGGTAAACTTAGGTCCATCTGATCGGATCATTAGTTGAACGTGCAGAGGAAGTTTGTTGGTAGTGCTTTTCACTCGTACCCTGCTCAGAAGCTGACTCCTCTCATCCTCCAGGGCGGCACAGTGGTCCCGGAGTACCTCCAGCTCCTCCCTGCATGCGTCCCTCTCCTCCACGGCCTCCCTCATCATCTCCATCAGCTCATCCTGCTGATGCTGCAGACTCCACAGCTCCTCTTCAGCACTGCATGCCTCAGCTTCCCCATCCTGTTTACAATCTGATTCTGTTATGTCCTCTGGAGTTGAATGGTAACCTGTTTCTGTGGTGGTTGATTCCTCGTTGTCATGCCACTCCTCTTCATCCTCCTCAACAGGCTCCTGATAGGCCTCAAATCTCTCTATAATTTGGCTCTCCATTTTGCTCATTTGTTCATCTGAATTCCTGTTTCTCTCTCTACCTTTCACTTTCTTCAACTCGTTCTCCTCTTTTTTAATTACAGGACTGAAATTTCCATGAATTGAGGTGCCAGCCCCTTGTGGTGGGGTGTTAGGTAAAAGTGCACAAGACATGATGCCCTCTGCTGTGGGTATTTCTCCACTTGAAGAGCATTTCCGTTTCATCCTTTAACAGATGGAGAAAAGAAAGATAAAGCCAAAACAGATGCTCCACAATTACTTATTAGGCAATTAGCAATGTGATATGCAAAATGACATAAGTATGTACGAGTGCTTATTACGACAGAATCACCTTTTTAGTGCATCAGAGAGGGCAGTGAGATTAATCAGTGGCAGTGGTGATCTCTGCGCTAGAGATGAACTGGTTTCTAAAGAAAAAAAAAGATAAACATCAATGGAGCTTCATCAAATAACTGTTTAAAGCCAAATAAATGCAAGACTCCATCATCTTTCATCAACCTTGCACAAAGCTGGGTACAAATAAGGAATTTTGCTTTCAATACCAGTACCGATATTGAAACCCTAATGGATGATACTGGTCCGATATTTCCACTATGAAGACTACTAAGCTTTAAAAAGACTTATTTTTATTGAAGCACTTTACTTACAACAAGCATGTAAAAGTGAGTTACCATGCTCAAACATGAATAAATACACAGCTAACAGCCTGACATCACACAATATAAGCATGTGCAATTTCAAGCTAGATTTGCTACAGGATCAGGTTCATTCCTTTTTCTCTCTGATTGATTGTATTGGTTTATTTTTGACATCTAGTGGCTCAATTCTGCTATTGCAATGATTGACTTTTTCTTCAGCCTAGTAAATGTCATTGGAAGTAGAGCCACAAGCTCAAGTTGATGCCACTAGTGTTTGTGGAACAGAAAAGGAAAGAATAAAACAACTTTCACAGGGTATCCAAATGCATAACTTGGAAAAAGCTAACCACATCACCAACATTCATTTGGCCTACAGTGCCTTGCTGAGTGAGACATTTTTGCTGAATGTTCTGCCAGTTATATTCCAGACTGCATGCAACTCTCCACAGTGCAAGCAGAGCAATTTAAACTGGCTGGAACCAAACAGTGCTCAACACAATACAAACCTAAGCAAGCATTAGTAGTAGGTGAGAGAGCACTGAGGCTGTTCCCACTATTAGTGGACCGACCACAGTGACTTTGTTGGCAGAGCACAGTATTCTTTGGCTGTCTGGCTGGCAGAGGAGATATCGGGCTTGAAGTCTCTAATCCCTGGAGACATATGGGTGAAAATAGGATAGTGTATTTCCACTTAATATTATATATAATATGTTGGAGTGACTTCTTAGATATTATCAAAGCTTTTTCTAGAAGTGGCAACTAAATAAGCTCTTACCTCTGGCACATTCTCCTCCTGTAGACTTTTACTATTCCTTTTCCTGTTAAGGATCAGAACGTACTGAATAACAATATCAGCACAATAACATTACCCATATGAAAAAAAAAATATTGACATGGTTTTTTATACATTTGAAATATTTCAAATACATTGCATTCCATGCCAAAATACATTCCGAACACTAAAATGTATTTCAGGATATACTGCCATATTGGTCCAATATAATTTAAAATACATTTATTTTAAAATGTATGGGAGAAATATTACACACAGAAATGTACTATACAAAAATAAATGCATATAAATGTGTTTATCAAATACATAATACTTGTCTAATGCACTTTACTTTTTGGATACCTTTTAATATTAATTTGTATTCCAGTATCTTAATTTTAAATATTAGCAAATGAACCTTTAACATGGCAAAAGCACGTGTTTTAGGTGTTGATACACTGTGAAAATACAGTTATGATTAGATTTCCTATTTATTTGAAATATATTTTGTGTGAGTGCTGTAATTTGCAAAAATATACCTGATCAATACATTTGGAATATATATATATATTTTTCCATATGGGTAACAATGTGTACTGTACGTGTAGGAGCATCTTACTGGCGTTTGAAGGGTTTGGGGTATGACCTCTGCTCTTCTTCTTGATCCTCCAGTTCCTCTTCCACCATACAGCTCCTGATTGGGATCCAATGAGCGTCAAAAAGGCCTGTTTCAACGTTCTTACCAGAGAAACGCATCACTCAAAAATGTAATAGCAGCTCCCTTACTAAAACAACAGAGGCAAGGCAGCAGACTAACCAAGTTCTTCACTGCTACATCATGATCCAGAGTAGGGCTGAGACGATTACTTCTATAATCGGTTCATCCACAACTACTCCATTAATCAAACTTTCATGCCCTCTGCAGCACTGCCATCATTCAAAGTGTGTGCAACAAATGGTTCCTTTTGCAGTGCAGTTAAACAACAAAAGCCGAACTGTCCTCATTGCAGTCTGTTGGAATGACTGAATGTATTACATGAGGACTATAGAGCTTTAGAGAGAACTTTTGTTTTTAAGCAAATGATGAGTTGACTTTTCTCTGTAATCAACATGATGGATTCTCACATGTGATCCTGAAATTGACTTAAAGGCCATTGAGTATAGCTAGTATGTCACTCACTCTATGAGCGTACATAAGACTATTATGTCTTGCAAATGTACTTTTTTCATTTACAAATGTGTGCAAAAGTCTTAAGCAGCCATAAAAATAGTTTTCCCCACTAGTAAAAACTGTTAATCTCAGTAGTAAGTGTGTTTTTGCCTATAACGCATTAGAATAAATACTTTTGAAAAGACTGATTGTTATCTTAGTTAGAAGAATACTGTTAATAGAACATAAGTTTATTGATGCACTCAAGCCATTGCATATATTTGTTAAATCCCATCATGATGAGCTAAACTAGGAGCTGGATGGTACTGGCCATGTTTGGTATTGGACATGGAAATGGTTAAGCTCAAAGACATAAAATCACAATGTATTCTTTATTTGTTTGTGCTCTAATGTTAATGTTTTTTTATAAATGCTTACTGACAAGATAAGTAGCTTTTCTCAGACTAAGAAGACTTTTGCACAGTACCAAATATGGTCTGAAGTGGTTTGAAGTGATGGTTAATACGTTGATTGATTGCTTAAGTTTAAATCAGGTCAATGGACATTAATCAGGGTTTTTTGGAAATGATTTTAGGATATGATCTGGATATTATTCAGAGAATTTGTATACTCATATGGAATCGTATTAAGTAATTATTAATTATTCTGTGAAAGTTGATTGAAAATGAGCATTTCAATATGATATATGTATCATTAACAATTTATAAATTAACCTTTAATCACTTTTAACTTAAGGTTAAACAGAATAATATTTTAGTAATATGCTTTTTCTTTGATTGTATTTGATTAACTGTTTGAAGTGTATTCTGTCTCTACATAGCACTCTTAGGGTCATTCTGATGTTTTCGTGGAAGTTCCAGACATCTAAATTCCTCATTCGATACAAATTTAGATCTTTGTTTCCTGATGACAGATTTTGGATTTCACCTTTTGTATATTTTACTCTTGAATATTATTCCTTTTGCAAGTATGTTACATAACATTTTACAGTATAATATCAATATTATTTAATTTTTACTCATCACGGATGGTTTGAGCATAATCTGTCACTAAATATTTACTTATTATAATTATAAATAAACAAGTGATATAATCAATCATTTGGGTGCACAACTAAAGTTATGCAAGAGGGGAATGATGGAATAAAATGAAAATTTCTAGCAACAAAACAAGATGATTAAAAGAGAACATTGCCCTGCGATGGACTGGCGACCTGTCCAAGGTGTATCCTGCCTTCCGCCCAATGACAGCTGGGATAGGCTCCAGCACCCCACAGCGACCCAGAAGGATAAGCGGTTTAGATGATGTATGTATGTATGTAAAAGAGAACATCATGGATAAGAGGTAATACATAGGACAGGATTAAGTATTTTTTGTGGAAAGTACCAGGTCTGTGTAGACACTTCTAGAAAGTTCCAGAAGAGGCCTAAAGGAACTCTTTTGAACTTCTGAGTAAACATTTTAACTTCCCAAGCACAGGTAGGCTAAGTTGTGTAGGTGGTTATATAAAGTGTTTTTTAGTATCAGCAGAGCTCAGGTACGAAAAAGACAACTTGACCACCACTATATTAATGAGGTTGAATTTAATTGGGTCTAAAGTGATAAATCTTTCAATTAGTGACGGGCAATATAGGTTATCAAACTTCAGAGAGAGAAAGGCAATTACTTTATCCCTAAACAGTGGGGATTGGCAGTGGGGTCCAGAACCATTGTCCAGGTGAAATTCTTTTTGCCTGAATAAAGAGGAGCCTTTTTTTCTCCATCCAAGACCCAGCATCTAAAGTCTTCTTTGAGATAGCATACATTATTGAATGTACGTGATCAGTAAGTTACAATTAAAGTATTTGTTTAACTGTTTGCCTGGCATGAGTGATCGGTGTCACTTACCCTCGACACTGAACTGTTTGGAGCTGTGTCCATCTGATATCTGATTCTGCTGTCTGTTAGCACTGCACTGCAAAACGCCTTCCAATCACATTTTAAGTTTTTAACTATTATTTTGACCAATTAATTTTGTGCTATACCTCTGTGTGATGTTTTGAGACCCTTGAAACACACTGTACACTTCTCTGATTTTCAGATCTTTGATCTCCTGCCTTGATTTATAACTTATATTGAAAACTGATTTATAACTGATATATAACTTTCTTCCACTTCATAAGTCTGGTCTGCAATTATTGTAGAAACTGATTTTTGAGACCTCTTAGGCAAATTCCTGCACCAATGTATATTTTGGCAGAGAAAAACTCCTTGACTAGATGGCTGAAGTAGTCCATACGTTTACCTTAAAGGGCTATGAGTGTATGTAAGAAAATAACTAGTCTTTATTAGTTGTCCACTTAAATGGACTTTCAGTTTATCATTGCAGCCCTAATCCTATACTGATTTCACCTAACCAAATCATACCCACAGCAATTACATGTGGTCATACTAAGCTCAGGCCAGTATATAATGTGTCTTCTATAAAAACATAAACCACCAATTTAACTCCAAAGGTCAAAAGGCCATTGGCTAGCGAACTCCACGCAATTTATTATGAACTGCAGCCTTGCTGGGTCTTAAGGGCTGCAATTTTATCTCCTGTATAGTCTAAGATTCCTCCTGTGTAGTCTAAGGAACACTCATTTGATGGGGCAATCCAAAGCCTTCATGAACAACCCAGAGAGACATGATGACGTACACTAGTTCCCAAGAATGCAAGGCACTAGACAGCAGCATAAGCCAGCCCTAACATCATAACACAACATAACTCAAGAGTCCCCCTCAAGGAGTTTCAAAGCTTCTCTGAAATGGTGGAAACATGGCAGGAATCTGAAAGTGCTGTTCTCCTTTCCATCTCTAAGATTAGCACAAACAGGATACAATGCAACTTGCTAAATTAGCCCTGCTTTAGAGATTCTTGGTCTGGTACATATCTACTCAACCAAAACAACCTTTTCCCCACACTCACACCCCACCTCTCCCTCCCCAAGTGTTTTACGGGTGTCACCTGAATTGCGGGTCATGGTTCATGCTGCAGAACCATTTCTCGGGCAGACGGCTGCAGTCAAAGCCATCTGGAAGTCTTCTCCACTTCAGGCAGCTGTCGCACTGGACCCAGACCTGATCCGGAACTTTCCTTCACACATGCAGATAGTTTAATACAAAATCAGTATAGTGTAGAAATGAGAAGAAAAAATAGTATAGTATACTATAAAACAGTATAACGTAATACTAATTTCTCACTCACAACTAACTTAAACAGGCCTGCAAAAAGTGTGGTATAGACATTTGGGTGAAGAAGATATTTTTTTCACAAAGATTAGGAATCTGAACAGGTATTGTTGTACAGTCTTGTTTTGCAAAATGAAAATTATTTTGCCTTTGTTTTTTGCCATGTTGATGACATTTTTCTGACACTTAAACAAACCAAACAAAGTCAGAAGTGCAGACCTGTCGATACAGAATGTTGATGTAATTCATTACATAATTATGTAATTAATTATGTAATTATTACAGAAGACCATGAAGGCTGCATGGCCTTCCGCATGGACACAGTAAACTGAACTGAAATGACCTTATACCAATAAAGCCACAGAAAGAAGAAGCAACTAAAATATGAAGTGGTGCAACACTCACACTGTGTCCTCTATTGGAACAGTACATTTTGGATCCTCCTTTTTGCGTTTGTAGCGGATCTCGTTCCAGTACTCTTCCAGTTTGATACTGAGGTTATGCATAGTTTTTCTACGCACAAATAAAATATATAATTGTACTAAATATATTCATATTATACATTATATACATACAGTGGTCTAACTTCATGCTTCAAAATTCATAGCCCTACATCTGAGGCCTTTCCCAGTCCCAGATTAAGTCTTAGACTAAACAGCATTTTTAATAGAGACAAAAAAATCTGTGTTGGAAAAACAATTTTATGTGGCTTAAGTTTTTACCTGTATTTATCTGTGTCATCAAAGTCCTGTTTATTATGCGTTGGCTGGAGGAAATTACATTCAATCACACCAATGACTCCAACACCCTTTCTCTCTGCCTGTTTCATTAAGAGGAAGAGGCAGTGCAAAAAAACATCAGTAAAATGATTCTATATGTGAATAAAATTTTAAACAAGCAATTTTTGTTTTACCTTGCGTTGGCAGCTAACTCTTTCATAAGCTTTGATGAGTCTGTTTTTGTGATACATCATGATTCCATGATGCTCCCTGCTTTTAGTGTTGAACCCGAAGGTGATGCGAATGCGTTTGGTCTGTGAGCACAGTCAAGAATTTCCACTGAAAGAGTGAGACAGCAGTCCAGATATATTTGAACTATGAGAGCGTATGTGTCAAAACACATTTGTGGCTTAACATATTAACAGTGTTCACTAGTCAGTAGTATTCTTAGTATTCTATCAACATCACTGTGAAACTGAAATCATAATGCATTTTCCTTCAGTACTGTGACATATTTCTGAGTGAAACACGGTATCAGGTAGGGTATCTGAGCTAGCTGAGCACTTCACTACATGATAAGTGGGGATGGTCACAATGGGAGGTGAAACGTAATACTACTGTTATTTTTCCTTGCCTGCTGGTGCATGGTGATGTAATCAAAACTCACAAGATGTTTTCAATGTGGGCAAAAGTCAATAAACATTGTTCAAATATCATGGAAAATGGTATGGTATGACAAACTGTGCTTAATATGACCAGGGACAACCAACCAACCAACAAAAGTCCATTTTGATTCCAGGTTGACTGCAAGGATACTAGGAATGAAGGTCTGTAATTGTCATTGGCAATGTGAGCCAGACTCTTGGAGATGAGCTGGGTTTTCACTCTCTGTCCTCTAATGTTAATCTGCATACGTGGCTTCAGGTACAGAATGCTACAGTATGCCTGCAGATAAAAATTCAAGAAACACAATTTTCCAGTTTTTAAAAAATGTACAATTTTATCACATCATCTGGAACAAAGCTGTTCCATCATATTGCATGAAAGCGCTAATGGCGTGTGCACTTACTCTTAGTGAATATCTGCTCTCCGGCATTGTGACCCGGCTCTCACTGGTCTTCTCACTAGCGTTTGCTCGGATTTGAATGTCATATTTATCTGTGTCAAAATCAAATTCTGTTTCGCCACTTGTTGTCCTACAAGAGAGAAAGTGTACTATATATGACTAGTGATGATCAGTAAAACGCAAGTTAATCTTTCTGTGATTTGATCTATTCATTCATTCACTCATTCAGCCATTCACATTTACTACACATTTATCAGAGATATGTGCACAATTGCCACATGCATCTCACGTTCGCAGATTCCAGATAATGATGCGTGTGCCGGTGGGTCCAACAGCACCGATAGCACGCAACTCGGAGAAAAGCTCTTTCTCTGTGCTGAACAGGGAATATGCGAGGATGGCATCCAAACTGGCTGCATCTTCCATTCTGGAGACATCAAATGTCAAGGGTCCACTAAATAATGGATAATGAATTATCTAATATTACTTAAGTGGTACATAAAAATACTTAAGAGGTTTTATTAGTGTAACGTGCTTGAAAATAATATTTCGCTGAAAAATCATATTTACAGTTTTCCCCTTAATCCAAACGCATTAAATTAACCAAGACATCTTTGGTGTCCACAGTTTGCTCCTTTAGCGCCGGAGAAACAAGACTAATGTAACAAGTAATGGAAGTTTATACCCCACCAAACAACATCATGCAAACACGATGTCTCATTACAGATGCAGTTTCAGCATGTGATAATGTAAGAATGCAGTCTGTACAATGCCAACTGAAGTGAGTATTAGCTTTCATTACTTGTTAGATACATTCAAGTCCAGTGCACAACTAAAGAAGCAAACTCTGGACTCATACATTTGATTTTCCCTGTTATACATATAAATAGCACTTTTGTGTAACTTAAAGACAAAGTAAAGTAGCTCATCTCATCTTTTTATCTTCTCTATCTATTATAAACAATATTCACCAGCTATTTAGGTCATTCCTCCACAGCATGTGTAGCCAATCAACACATCTTTGACAGCTGAATGTGCTTGGAGGAGAGCAATAACTTTCCAGTTCTGTATATATGGCCTAACAGGTGTCCACAATTGGCTAACACTGACCTATAAAGCGAGATAAACCAAGCCCAATCCCCAATCCCACAGAACTGCATATTTTAAATGTCATCTAACAAACATGATCCAGCTCATCAGCTCATTAACAGAATGCTTGATGAGCTGATTTGGGTGGATCCCCAAGAGCAAGATCCTTCAAACCCAATGACAGCAGGGCCAGTCATGTTCTCTTGGACTGCTCACGGATGGTATTGCTGGGGATCAAACATAACTTCTGTCAATATGAAATAAAATAAACTCCTATGACAGCAGATAAAATAATAGGACAGCTGATATGTTATCTTCATTCCCTATTCAACAATGTTAGATTTTATACTGAAGTCACTGGGGAGGATACTGGTTTTGTTCATCCCGTCTGAAGGTGACCATGGGCACCATGATCTGTTGGGCTTTCATGGCCTGCAGGTAAGACTGGGACAACAGACCTATACTCATGCTGTTTCTGGTCTTGGTGAAGACGATGGCATCCTTCCCCAGACGCATGGAACCTGATTTAAAGCCATTACCGTAAACGCCTACTGGAACATGGTCTCTCACAGCTTTCTTGTCACTGAAGCCAAAGCTGAAGGAACATTAAAGACATCGTTTTATTCCATTTTCAACATACTTTTTTTTCATTATTTTGCTCAAATATGTGCTCTGCATGACCATAATCGCTGCAGTTCAATATACACTCCACTACAATAGAGAACTTTTAAATTATGTCTAGTTCTTTAAACTTTAAACCAGGTTCTTGACTTTTGTACATTCTTTTACAAAACTGGTTCTTTAAAAACATCAATTAAAAGGTTCTGTACGGAACCAAAAAGTGGTTATTCCATGGCCATTCTCCTTTCTGACACCTCTATTTATAAGAGTACTGTGTCGTCATGATTAAAATGTGATAACCTGATACGTCAGCTTATGTCACACTTTGTACTACCTAAGCATCTTATGCAGTTTGGCTCTGTTCATGCCTGCCCCATTATCCATGAATGAAAGGCAGTCCAGCCCTTTGATGCGCGTCCAGTCTATCCAGAACTGTTTGGCACGGACATCTGGGTCGTAAGCGTTGTCTGCAACATGTGTGTAAATCACCAGAGACACAGGAATTTACAGAAGGAAGCAAATGTTGGAAAAGGAAACGTGTACAGGAACAACTGAAGTTACAAACGGGAAGCAAAATGTTATGTATGATCTCTGTTTCATGTTCAACCATCTTTCTGGTGCACACTTCATCTTCTAAATTTGATTTAATTCAAGAGCTGATGAAAGAAGGATTATCAACTCACCAACAAGCTCCGCAATGGCGCCGAAGGGCCAGGTATGGCTGGTGGAATTGGTGTGAAGAAATTTAGGATTGAGCTGCAGGAGAGCACAGTTAGAGGGAACATGACAAATGGTGTTAATCACGTTATCAGCAGTTTTATGGGTTTTATAGGTATACACTGTTTAAAAAGATGGTTCTTAAAGGGTTCTTTAGCAAAGCCAATGTTTACATGGTAAAATGCTTCTTTCGACTGATGGAGAATGGGCCGTATATGGTTTGATGTAGAACCTTTTTGAAAATGGTTCTGTATAGCACCAAAAAGGGTTCCGCTATTGCTACAAGCTTGACATCGTAACAATAGAGGAACCTTTTTTTGTGCTATATAGAACCAAGCTTCTATATAGACCCATACACAACACATGATCCATTAATCTGAAGAACCATTTCACCATGGAAAGGACCATTTCAGCATGAAATGGTTCTATACGTAAATCATGGTTCTACGTAGAACCACTGCCTTAACTAAAGAACCCATCTTTTTTTAAGTGTGTCAGTAACGTTACAAATAAAATAGTGAACAATGTGATAGACTTCTTTTAAAAACCGATGGTATGATTTAAGACTGATAACTGATACTGTAAGTTAAACTAGCAAACTCGGATTTAAGTCAGACTTAAAAAAACACAAACTTCACATTAATAAATAAAAGCCTGTGACGTAACCTAACCTAGATGGCTTCAACAACAGGTTTTGACCAAAACTCTTCATCTAACCGTGAATGATAAATTGTACTGTCAAAGTAACTGAATAAATGTAACGTTAATCTTAGCAGGACGTTATTTGAACTGCATTAGCTAGGAAAGTCGTCTACAGGTCAGACTGTTTGTCCCTGAAACCTGCACAGTTACTTACGGTGCAAGAGGCAAACACGAAGTAAAACATGATACTCCACAATAAAAAAAGCATTAAAGGTGCTTACCGAGCTCAGAGGGATCCCTCTTTGTTTGCGAGTGGCCATTTGTCCAGATTTTCTGCGGAAAACTAACAACACATGCTAACGCAAGTTCGCTGTTGAGCCGCTGTAACGGTTCCACTCGCAGCCTTCCAAGCTCGCGCTCCTTACGTGCACGCGCGCGCCGTGACTGACTGAGTCGCTGAGTTACAGCTTCTTCATACTCGCGGCTGTTATCAGGAGCTGTGCACAGCTGTGGGCGGTCAGCTCCGGAGGCACGCAGCCCGGCAAAACTTTGGGGACACATTTGGCTTCTTCTGAAATGTGAATGTTCTCGCTATTACTTTTGAACTGAGTAAGAAAACACACCATAAAGCAGCTGTTCACTGATAATTTTTTGGGTAGGCTATGTTTTGTAACAGCCAGCTTGCGTCAAGTTGCTTTGAAGCCTCTTAAAGAAGAGCAGGTTTTGCATAAATTCATAAAATTCATAACAGTTTTCTTTTCCAAGCTAATGCTGAAAGCACATAGTACTTCAAATGTGGTGTAAAGGACCCGTGTCTTACATTTTTTTTTGCATTCAACTTTTTCCCCAGAGGTTCAAATATAATGTTTGCGTTTTAAATACCAAAAACAGTCAGAAATCCAGGAAGTCCAAGTCCATGATTTTTTTACATGACCATTACCAACCTCTCTTTATCCGTTACAATTAAACAGGGCTGCTTTTGTTACTGAGCCTTTACCACTGATGAGCTCTGTTCTGATTGGCTATGCCAGGGGTCGGCTTTTTTACTGCCCTGTCGCGGCTCCACCGCAGAATTAGATTTTTAGGTAAAGAAAAATCATCCTTTGCAGTAAAATAAAGCTCTGCTGATCGTTTTTACACAGCTTTAGCAATAAGTGGTCTTAAACGCTGGAGTTAATTGCTAATTCACCCTTTAACCCTGAAGGTTGGCACGCAGACTGCTGGTCACATAGCAACACAAACAGTCTTGCCTAGCTAGTAGCTAATGAAAAGGCAAAGAGAGAGATTTAAGGTGAACATCCATAACTTGGTGACGAATTAACTTATTTGTGTTTATAATCACTCCAGCTGGTTTCCTGATATGTTTAATCTGAAATGAAAAACTGTCAAATGCTGAAAGTCACGAAGCTAAAGTCAGTTTCTCGTTCGCCAACTTCTCATTCAGATATTCCTGTTCCACCTTAAATGGTGCAGCAGTTGCATTCTAGCGCTTCAGACACTGTTTAAGGTGTAACAGGAAAATTAGAACAAGAAGCTGACGAATGAAAAGACTTCAGCCTCGTAAAAAGGCGAACGTTGAGAGACATTTTGACAAGAAAATAATGAACTTTTGCAAAAAAGTTTCCTGCTGAGATGTGAGAAAAGCAGCTGTAAGCTTAAAGCAGAGAAAAGTAAGTCTGCATTTTCGTTTATACTTTTTACCCTATACTAGTACATTAGCACATACTGAGACACATTTAGAGTCAAGACAGTAAAAATAGATATACAATGTTGTGGCTCCCAAGGTGGTTTGATTTTTATTGAAAGGACAAAATAGTTCTAACAGTTGGGTTGCCAGCCACTGGGATATCCAGAAATCCAGGCTAAAATGCTCCTTATAACTTCATCGTGAACAGGCGGGGCCATAGATATACGTACATAGATGCAGCATTTAGTCCAGCGAGGCATGTTAACGGCACCGCCATTTTGGTGCAGTCAACACCGCTGCTGGACTGCATTCAGTACCATTACAGAGCGGCGGTTTAAGAAAGATACTGTCCAAAATTATACTATTTCAAGAATACTGCACTCAGAGAGTGGGAGAAGATTGTATGACAGAGGGAACGCAGCGATCCACACTCATGTTTGTGTGATGTTTATGTGCAGATATGGCCGTGTGGTTGGTGATGCACAGAGAACCTGTTGATTTGATTGTTTTTCCTCTGGTTTTATCATGTTCTCTCTGGACTCCATTTAAAATGACTGTAAAGGTTTAGTTATGTTTAGCTGTCTCCTCATTACAGATAATGGGTGACTGGAGATGTATCATTCAGCTCTCTGGATAAGACAAATGCACATACACTTCAAACATACACATAGAAGTTTTGCTCAACTTCAGGTCAACACACTTGAGGCTGTTGACTGTTAAACTGTCATATGTGTGTGTGTGCACCACACATACACACATGTGCCAGCATGTAGATTGTTCTGAGCCAACTGTCAAATATGGTATATACACACACAAACGCATACAGACGCACGTTCTTCATAGCAGCAGAGACATTTTGGAGAGCAGTAATTTCACTCCTGTAAATGACCTTCTTTTTTCTGAGAGCACTTAAAGCATCAGAACAGCTCTTTATCCTTTTCTTATTATTTGGCTTTCATGTCATTGCTATTGTATGACAGCAGAGCAACACCATCATCACCATAGTCGTGCCTTCATCGTTGTTAACATCGTTGGTTGATGATGCGCAGAGAACCTGTTGATGTGATTGTTTTTCCTCTGGTTTTATATTAAGCTTATTTCATTTAATAGTCTATTCAGGGGATCTTAACTTTATGTACTAGTTATTTATTTACAATGATGGTTATTGCTTTGTAGCTAGGTAAGTTATAGCATTCCTTAATCCGTGTAGATATTCGTAATAGATATTCGTAATAGATGTTCATAATAGATTCACGTTAGCACCGTCTTACACAAAGCTGGCGTCAACATCTTATTTGCCGGCTTCTTGTTCGAACTTTCCCGTCCCTCTTTAAATGGTGCAGCAGTCACTTTCTGGTTCCTGAAGCTGCACCATTTAAGGTGAAATGGGAAAATTCGAGAAAGAAGCTGGCGAATAGGAGGCCAACTTCAGCTTTGTCCTTGTTACTGTGTTTTAGGGGGTTATTTTACTTTTATGTGTATTAAGATTAGAAGTGATTCACACATTGATGGATTTGCTGATACATGTGAGATTAAGTTTTTACTTGAGCTCACTCTAAACTTGGTTTTTAACATCAGGTGCAGACTAAATACTTTCCTGCTGGTCCAGACGGCTAATTAGCACGATCACAATTATTAAAGACATAAAAGCTACTGAGAGCAGTCCGTGCAACATAGATTAATTTCTGAGGATTGTAACAAAACAAATTTGGTGAAACGTTTGGTAAAGTAATGAGGAAGTTGTGGCCGATTTAATCTTGAGACTCATCGTCTCTCAATACAGGTGAATTTGTTCACAAGTGGATCTTGACCTTTCCAGCTCAGATAGAGAACAACAGACAATGCGGCATCTAGGTATGTATATCTATGGGGCGGGGCTAAACTGCTGTAAGCTGAATATGTGGATGTATATGTACATGCTTCGGTTTTTGTGACATCACAAATCATTGAACTCAAAATGGACCTAATTTCCAATTATGGGCTGTAGGGACTGAGAAATGAATGGTATGTTTTCAAAACAAAAGATACTACATACCACATCCATTTTTTATTTAATAAAAAGTGAGGAAAAATCAGTTTCCCATGATATGGGCCCCTCGAACAGGTTGAACAGTGAGGGCTTACATAACAACAAGACTACAAAATGCATGGGGTATCGCAGTATTAAAGAGGTGGTAGTTCCATGTGTGATGTTGTTTTCATCAAATTATGTCAGGTTAGACTTCAATAAGTTACTGCAAACCGACAAAGGAAATATGCTCATTATTTCATATTAAAACATTGTGAAAGAGTAGTGTTCCCTACCTTTGAACAGGCAGTGTATTCAGACAGCAGCCCCTTTTTTGTTGTTTTGGCTCTGTCATGACCTTGGATGTGAAAAAACATAACTGTCAGTCAAGGGTTGAGGAGTGGATGTAGTGGTATCAATGAGTAACACTGTTGGAGAGAATAAGACAAAACACTTGGTTGGAATTATATCATAAAATGATGAAAGGTTCTTGTATTGTTCCTCTTGTGACTAGACACAATTAGACACACACATACACATACACACACATGCATACATACACATACACAGAAACCAAACAGCTGCCAAAGAGTGAAAATAGATGCCTTCTGTCGACCCTGAAAGATCCCGAGGGAAGCTGGGGCCTTGGATATACTTAGACAGCGTCAGTTTGTATTACTGAAGTGAAGGTAGTTGCATATCATGCTGGGTCATGCGAATGTCATAAATAAGGTATTATTATTATACATTTATATGACATGTACATGACTAGCCCTATAGGTCAAACTGTATAAATCCTGGCTGGCGCTGAGAAGCATGTTCTCTATAGACTCCATTTAAAATGACTGTAAAGGTTTAGTTATGTTTAGCTGTCTCCTCATTACAGATAATGGGTGACTGGAGATGTATCATTCAGCTCTCTGGATAAGACAAATGCATGTACACTTCAGACATACACATAGAAGTTTTGCTCAACTTGAGGTCAACACACTTGAGGCCTGTTAAACTGTCATATGTGTGTGTGCACACCACACATACACACATGTGCCAGCATTTAGATTGTTCTGAGCCAACTGTCAAATATGGTATATACACACACAAACGCATACAGACGCACATTCTTCATAGCAGCAGAGACGTTTTGGAGAGCAGTAATTTCACTCCTGTAAATGACCTTCTTTTTTCTGAGAGCACTTAAAGCATCAAAACAGCTCTTTATCCTTTTCTTATTATTTGGCTTTCATGTCATTGCTATTGTATGACAGCAGAGCAACACCATCATCACCATAGTCGTGCCTTCATCGTTGTTAACATGTCAGTTTTCTGTGCTTCTAGCATGGTCAGTTGCGTGAGGCTCTGGCTCAAATTTTGTTGCCAGAAGAAAAGTCCCAATGACGTAAAGATGGCTTGGTCTGGGGCATGTAAGCCTGCTCTTAATCTCTGGCCTTCGTTAGACACGAACTCTCACAGACTTAATGTTCACGTTACCGTGAATTTGTGCAGTGATGTAGGGCTGTCTAATTCTGTCATTCATCGAGACTATAGGGTGAAGACTTTTTAATCCAGGTTTGCTCGTGGAATTAGCCTACATACACAGCAAAACATTTGGAACAACATTAGCAAAATTGGAGCGGTATAAAAAATAACCTTAAAAATGGTTTATAATGAAGTAATAAAGGTGCATTAATGAATTTATATGACTGATTCCAATTTCTTCACAGCTACTAGCTACAGCTAGTATTAGTACAGTAG